AATTAATCAGAAATTGTTTGGGCTCCTTGGCGAAGATATCTCATTTGGCTGCTTTGAAAAAGAAAGATTTTTTTGACTCTGTGGCTTAATGATTGATAATCTATTCGAAATTTGCAAGTTAAAAAGAGTAAATAAGAATGTGTTCTTTTGGATCGAGACTGTTGAATAGTTTGAAAAATGTAATCATTAAGATATAAGGATTTTAAAAGGATAATTTATATTAAGATGTTACATGTTGTCTAACAAACTTAGATGAGAAAGAAGAATAGTATAAAATTCGATGTTTACAACAAAAATCTTTTCACTAAGGTATTTTAAAGAGATTGATAAAAAATGAATAGATGATAAAAATTATTTAGTCAAATATACTATTTCATTGTAATAAGGTGGAAAAGTAATTGTTAAAGCTTCACCTTATTTTATGAAAATTTTTGCTTAAAATCTCTATTTAAAAATTTTGTACTATTATTATTAATAGTTAGTCCTTGTTAAATGTAATTCAGTTTGAGGAATTATTAATTGATTAACTCCTTTGAAAATTGACTATTTTTTTGAGTGAATTAAATTTTATGAGATCCATGTAATCTAAAAAAAATCAGGGTATCCATAAAGTTGTTATTTTTTGGAAATCAAGCTAAAGAAGATTTATTTATGAAAAGTCTATACAAGGTCATGACTAGAATCATAATTAAAGTGGCTTTTCTAAAATGATGGCAAATTTTAGGCATAATTATTACGAAAATGTTTAACAGATAGCACTGTTTTTATCCTGATATACTTTAATTATTCAGTATTTTAAACAACGACATAAAATGATTACAATAATTCTTCCTTAACTGATTCAACTTACAAGAGAAAGATTACTTACTTAAAAAGATAACCATTTTATTAAGTATAATATTTGTATAAAGATCAAAAAACATATTATTTCTATCATTTTTATTTTACTTAATTCTTTATTTTATTCACTTTAAACTTCTCTCATCATTAAATGTTCAAATTTATATTCAATA